GGCGAGACTGGCTGAGAGTGACTCAGAAGGAAAGGGTCACTTCCCCTCCGAACATATGAGGTGATGAAAGTTACTGTGAAAAGGGAACATGTCCCCCACCCTCCACTTTCCTACACTTGCTGAATGGAAAAAGCTGGGAAAAGGGAGGAAGTGTGGGAAACTGGGGAGGAAAACAACTTTCCTGGGTTTCCTAAATTCCCCACAGGAAAAATCAGAATTTCCCCATGGGACCATTCTGAAAGGGGATTATTCTAATCTGTGAAAATTTCCATAGGAAAATTCCTAGTTTTCCCACTAGCTCCCCTGGGCACTGCTCCTTTCTTCAGCTCTAGGCTGCCTGGGATCCCCATCTTCAAGGTGTTCATGAATCGTATGACTGCTGCCATCCACTTACTTGGCCAAGGACATCAGGACAGTGCAGCAAAGCAATGAGGGAACTCAGCTACAGATGTTCAATGGGGCAGGATTAGGCCTGAGGCCACAGTGTGATCGGCTGCACTATGGGAGAGCCAGGCATGGGCCCAAAAAAAAAAAAAAGGGGGAAAGGCCCAAGCCCCAAAGTAACATCCAGGGAGCTAACCCCCCCCACCAATGAGAAGGAGCCATTCATGCGGCTCAGGGCAGAGGGGCTCCAGCGGTATCTACCCCCTCCCCCCCCCCCCCCGGGGGGCGCCTCCCGGCGGCGCCCCTCCTCCAGTTTGGTTGCCGCCCCAGAACTAGAATGCCCCGGTGCCCAAAAGGGCCATGGTGCAGGGATGGGCAATGAGGAGGCTGCAAGAGGAAAAGTTGTTTGTAACCTCTGGGACTTGTGCCTAAGGAGCGGCAGCTGCAAACTGCTGGGTTTGAGGCAAGCAGCCCTGAGCACAGGGCCCGGTCCTGGTGGGATTTGGAGAAAGATGGACAGAGCAGGGAGAAAGCCAGAGGGGAGAGGAGTACTTGTGGCACCTTAGAGACTAACCAATTTATTTGAGCATGAGCTTTCGTGAGCTACAGCTCACTTCATCAGAGGGGAGAGGGACTTACAGGAGCAGGAAATCAGGGAGGGACCGCGCTTGGGGGAACCACAGAAAGGCTTTACGCGCTCAACGCCCATCTTCTCACAACAGGGAAGTAGCTCAGAGTCTAATTTCCAGAGCAGAACGTCCCTCCCTCCTGGCCACAAGCTGACTCCACCCTCCACTCCCTTCACATCACAGTCACTAGCACCTTCCCATTGTTGCGAGCTAAGCGCCTCACTTTTCAAGTCAAGAGCACAGACAGCCGGCAGCAGGAGAGGACCTGCGACTGGCTGAACTGGGCTTGTCAGCCGTGCCATTGACTAAGCACAGAGGCTGCCTCCTTCTGCATGAAGCCTTCACCCTGACAGTTCCAAGCCCGCAGGCCGATTGTGGCTCCCTATTCCTCCAGGAAGTGAGGGCAGGGAGGGAAGCTTAGGACACATGCCAGGGGCACAAACACACCACTCAGCTTGCCTCAGGGAGGCTTCACACCCGCCCCCCACTGGCCAGGGCCAGCTGGTTCTGATCTGCAGACCAGGCCCCACATCTGAGGGTGCTTGTGAGAGACCTGGTCTGTGCTGCCCAGCGATTCTGAACTATCCTAGTGAATACAGTAGCGGGGACTGATGCATTTGCAGCTCCTTGGAGCAGGGAGCCAAGCCAACCGAGTGTCTATAGACGTCATTGGCGTGTGAGCCGCTCTGGAGAAGAGCACCCATGCCTGGGCACTAGGGATGAAATGCTGACGGCAGAAGGCTCCCTACCCTAGCAGTGGGGCATTTCTGCTGAGGCCGGCTGATGGGTGGCTACCTCTCCTGCCAGACAGCAGGCTCCCAGGGCAAGAGCTCCATAATCTGCGCCCAAAGAGCACCCGTGGGCTGGCCCTGGCTACCTCAACAGCTAAGTTATCGCAGCAAGTCGTAACTGTAGCGCTAGGCAAGAGGCGACGCCACCCCTGAACCATAGCTGCTTGGCGGAGTGGCCTTTGGACTCTCACCAGTAGGTGACACTACCTCAGGCAGTAACGGCCAGAGAAATCAACCCTTAGACTCTCACCATTAGGCCCCTTGGGCTCATGCCTCGGAGTAGTGTCACGAGCCAGTACCGCCGGCCCGGAGCACACAGCCAAACCCTGACAATCACCGTCTTTTCTGGTAAGCCTGGTGGAGCTGCCGGTGTGGAGCTGGGAGCAGGGCAAAGCCCTTCAGCAGGTGTGTAGATCCCCAAGGTAAATGGCAGAGATGTTTCCTGTCCTGAGGGCTGGCAGCATGTGTGGGTACATGTACCTAATGGTCAGCAGAAGCTGGAGAATTCCCTGGGCCAGCTGCTAGTGCTGAGCCTGGAGACTCCTCTTGGGATGACATGACAGGCTAGACTCCACAAGTGTGGAGTCCTCATTTCTGGAGTCCTGGGCCTGGTTTTCCAACGTGCTGAGGGCTCACAGCCCCCGTTGCATCAATGGGAGCCATGGGTGATCTTCGCCTCTGGAAATCTGGTGCTTGGTGTCCCATGCTGGGCATCCAGAAATGGAGGAACCCAAAGCCAGTGGCCACCTCTGGAAATCTTTAATCTTTCAGGTTCCAAATCAGTCCTTACAAACGGAGGCCATGTCTGGTCTCCAGCCCCTTGTCTGGAAGAGCAGGACTTTGTGCTGATGTCCCTGGCTAAACATTTACCCCTCCTGTGCAGTGTGGTGTGCCACCTGGCTGCAGCACTCCATCCCAGAGTTGGCTGCATACTACTGCAGGGATATGGTTGTAAAGGGCTTTAAGATCTTGAGGATGAATGACATATATGTGGGGGTGTGTACACTGCCCAGCTTTAGAAGAGATTTATTTTTTAGTTGATGGGAAGGGAATTGATTTTGGGTCAAAATGATTTTTGTAAATCTTTTTTTAAAATAAGTGAAATGGTTAATGCTAGGATAAGCACACCATGGGGCAATTAATTCAATAACTATGTATGGGTAGAGAGGAAGCTATTGGAATTCCAGCCAGCAAGAAGCAAAATCCAAACACAATACTCAGCTTCCTGTTTCTAAGCAGTCAGGGGATGAGATCTGTCCCCTCCAGTATAGATTGCTTGGCTTGGGGTTTAGGTGTAGGGGTGTCTGAGTCCGCATTCCTTACACTGAGACACACCCAACCAGCAGGTGAAGCCAGGCATGAGGGATGTTGTTTTCTTCCTCAATGTTTGCTAAACATTTTAGAGCCAGAACACGGGATTCAGTTTAACCCCTACATCCCCTCAGGCTCCCTGCTGGGGAGAGTCTAGGATTCACTTCTCTTCATTGCTAAACCACTGTTGGATGCCTCAGAGCAGTGTCCCTCAACCTTTCCAGACTACTGTACCCCTTTCAGGAGTCCGATTTGTCTTGCGTTCCCCCAAGTTTCCCCTCACTTAAAAACGACACGCTTACAAAAATCAGACATAAAAATACAAAAAGGTGTCACAGCTCGCTGTTACGGATGCATTGCTGACTTCCTCATTGTTACCATAGAATTATAAAATAAATCAACTGGAATACAAATATTGTACTTCCATTTCAGTGTACAGTATACAGAGCCGTATAAACAAGTCAGTGTCTATGAAATTTTAGTGTGTACTGACTTCGCTGGTGCTTTTTATGGAGCCTGTGGCAAAACTAGGCAAATAGCTCAATGAGTTGATGTACCCCCTGAAAGACCTGGGCATACCCCCAGGGGTACGTGTACCCCTGGCTGAGAAGCATGGCCTCAGGCGACGTGTAGGAACGGTCCTGCGGTAAAAACACAGTTAAGACAGTGCACTTTCATTTTACTACCAGGTAAACTCGCTGAGGTCAGCCCTATGGCCCTGCCAGGGGTTGCTTCCCTGTGCTTTATCCTGTCCCTGAGGTAAATCCCACAATTTTTTAGCTAAAAATCTCTCCAGTGCTGCTAAGCCTCCACTGCCTTCCCACAGTGCTCCCTAAAGGACAGACACGTTCGCCCACAATTAATGGGAGACACTCCCAGGGGATGTCTACGCAGCAGCTAGACACCCGCGGCCAGCCCGTCCCCGCCGACGCGCGCAGCGGGGCTGTTTCATTGCTGTGGAAGTTTCCGGGCTCGGGCTGGAGCCGGGGCTGCAGGCCCCTGCGTGGTGGGAGGGTCCCGAATGTTGACCCCGCAATTAAACAGCCCCTGAGCCCCGTGCACCCGAGACAGCTGGCCCAGGCCGTGTAGGTATACCAGCTGCCGTGTAGGTAGACCCCAAATCCTTACTGAGGCTCCTGCACGAGCAGCTTGTTTTCCAAGGTGCAGCACTCCCAGCAGCCCCCCCGAAGTCATGGCAGTGCTGGGTGCTCTGCCTGGTTACGTACGGCAGCGTCTTCTCACCGCGTTGAGAGCCTAACCAGGACTCTTGGCCTGGTATGATAAGAGCGGGAACCGTGGCACCGAAGCCCTCTGTGCCGGACAGCCTGTATAGAGCTGGGCTTGTATGCCTTTAAATCCGATATATCCAAGCAGACCCTGAACAAAGGGCCCTTTTATATCTGCGACCAAGCGTCTGCTCTAAATTGGGCGGCGTGTTGCGGGATCCCCTCCTCTGTTGACCTCCCCAGTGTGTGCACCAGCTGGATCCAGGCCCCACCAAGGGCCTGGACACCCCTGCACGTGCCCCGATGTTCCCCTGGGAGGGCAGGTGAGGGGGGCGGTAACATTTCCTGCCCAGGCAGATCCAGGCCATGCAGCCATCCCAAGCTCTGATTTCAGTGCAGCCGTGCCACTGTTATGGCTCAGGGGCCGAGCGCAGACCTTTGCTCAGCACCGTTAAAAGCAGCCACGCACAGGCTGGGAGCAGCAAAGGGCTTTTCTGCAGTCACTTCACACCAATCCCCACCTGCCCAGCGGTTCGGGAGCCTTTAGGGCTCCTCCCTGGTTACTGTTTCACCTGCAGGGGTGGGGAAGCCCTGCCTTCTCCTCCCCTCCCCTCCCCTCCCCTCCCATAAAATACCACCCAGAACTTGTTTGGCAGCCGGGCTGGGTTTCTCTGTACATGCAGCAGTTTCGGTCAGAGCCGCCAGTTTCCTTCTGCTGGGGACAGAGCAAAGAGGAAGCCGTACGGCCGATGCCCCCTGCGACCGGGCTGGCAAACCCAGGAGGTGAGGGCTTGCGCAGGGGCTAACAGCGCTGGGCTGTGCGGGCCGGGCAGGTGCCAGGGCCAAGCGGGAGCGGGCCAAGAGGAAGGGCCCTGTGCTGGGTAGACCACAGCAGCTGTGGTGGGGACGGCCATGGCTCCGTCTGCCTCTGCAGTAGCATTGCGCCTTCCACCCCTGTGACTGGGGCAGCAGCGGCTCTCCTCTCCCCAGCACACCGGTGGTTATTCCCTCCTCCTCCCTGGGCCCTGCAATATGCGGACGCCGTCGGTGATGATCGTGGGCCTGGTCCTGGGCCCCTGCGGCCTGCTGCTGAACCTCATCAGCACGCTGACTCCCTGCTGGAGGCAGGTGAGCAGAATACCCAGCAATCCCGTGGATCTGATCTATCAGCAGGGCATCTGGGACCTCTGCGAAGAGACCCAGAGCACCCACCAGCGCCAGTGCGGCCTGCCTGATGAACTCGGCTACTTCTCCATGCAGCCAGTGCAGGTGGCCAAGGGGCTGATGGTCTCCTCGCTGATTGTGACTGTGGTGGGGCTGGTGGTGGCTGCTCTGGGGGTGCGCTGCTGGCAGGAAGAGCCCCACTACCTTCTGGCAGGCCTCTCTGGCCTGCTACTCTTCGCCTCCGGGCTGATGAGCCTCATCCCCGTCTCATGGTACAACCACGACCTCAGCACCCTGCCAGTGCCCGCAGACAGCACCTTGGAGGCGGGCTACAGCCTAGTGCTGGGCTACCTGGGCAGCTGCCTGGAGCTCATTGGGGGCTTCTCCCTGGCACTCAGCCTCCACCAGTTCTGCCAGGAGTGCAGGAGAAAGAAGGCAGCTACCAAATATCCCCACCACAGCCAGCAGGGCCCTGCCACTGTATCTTCCAGAGGCTTCATGCCCCGCAGCCAGAAGCCGGCTCCCAAGTCCTTCAGCAACCCCGTGGATGTACTGGAGGGAGAAAGAAGCTTCAGCCGCTCCCTGCCCTGTGACTCAGACTTATAGCCCTGCCACAGTGGGCCTGGCAGACACAGCCCCGACCAACACGAACGTGGGCAGTGCGGCACGAGCCGAGAGGAGCCCCTGCCAACGAGAGGCCAAGGCTGACAGGAAGGGGCACTGTGCCAGGCTGACAGCAGCAAGGACCTCTCCCTGCCTCTCTGCAGATGGACCCTCCTGCTGCAGCAGCGGGGGCCTACGAGAGTTTGGTACCCAGAACTGCAGCCATTTCTTGTGGGCTCTGCACAAGAGGTGGATATTTCTGTGTATAGGCATAGCAAGGGTGACATTATTGATGATTTGCACATTACTGCCTGGCCATGGTGACTTAGACAGTTCACAGGAGGGGGCAGATAAAATCTTCAAAAGCACCTACGTGACTTAGGACCCTCCATCTCGTTGGAAGTCAGTGGGATTTAGGCTCCTAATTGCCTAAATTACTTTGGGTAAATTTTTCAAAATTCTCCAGGGCTTTTCAGTGGCGGCTTGGAGCCTAAAAACCTTTGAGGATCTGGGCCAAGTGACGTAGGAGCCTGACACCATGTCCTTGGGAGATGCGGGGCGCGCAGCTCTTTTGAATACGCACGTGCTTAGTTCAGAGTCTAAATATGGAGCCTAACTTTAGCCACCAGCATATGCGATTCTTGGCCAGAGATGTTACGGACAGACTGTTCAGAAAAGTGACCCAGGTTATTGCAGTCTAGTTATTGTATCTCTATGTAATCAGCACCTTCTCAGCTTCAGCATTTACAGCTGGAAGGCTGCTGAGTTCTAGCATTCAGTCACTTCTTTGGACAGAAGCATGGCGAGCCGGGCTGGATTTAGGGGCAGGCAACCCAAGTGACTCTCTGAGAGGCTGGGCTTGGGGCGGGGTGCCGGTGGTCCGAGTGCTCTCTTCGTTGAGAGCAACAAAAGGGAAGGACAGGTTTCAGGTATTCTGTCCCTGGATTCATTTTTCACCAACCTAGAATGTTCTGGAACTTTGTAGAATCTCGTGGAACCTTCCAGACTTTCTCAGAACCACATTTTCCTTGAACCTCCTAGACTGTTTTCAGCTATGCCCATGGGTGTATAAGGGGCGACATGGGTGGCAGGTATCGTGGGGGGGGGACAGGCTGTGCCTCCCCAAACAGCCCAGCATGGCTTTGCCCACACTCCGTCTGAGGCCCCCTCCTGCTTGTCCTTCCCCCTTGGCCCCAGCCCAGGCTGACTTCTCGTCTTCTGGAAAGCTGGATGGGGCAGCTGTAGGGGGGTGCCGGGGGGGGGGGCCTGGGGCCATGCTGCCCTGTGCTTGGGGTGGGGGCTGCCTGCCCTGTGCTCAGGAGGGCTGGGGGCCGCGTGCTGCCTGCCTTCCCACCCACCCGGTGTTCAGGGGTGGGCGACGACAGGGAGAGAGAGGGTGGGGGCTCCGCTGGGGGTAGGAGGCAGGCCCGGCCAGGGGCTAGCCTCCCACAGCTAGCGGTTCACCCACCACCCATTGGGGTGGGGCAGGCATGTTCAGTGAGATATAAGAACAAAGTCAAGCGAAGCGAGAGCCTAGCGGCGATATTGTGAACCTTGTTTTATTGTGTAATTATGAAAGTGGACTTGTGTTTTACGATCTGAAGAGTATAAGTAGCGACTAATAAAGGACATATTTAATGAGACACCACAGATAGCTATCGAACCCCTGTCTATGCAACAATATAAAATAAATACTGTTACTTCTCTGTTATGCTTTACACGTAATGTTTGGTGACTTTCTAAGACTGCGGAACATAAGATTTTTGCTCTCCCTAATACTGTCTGTTTTCCCCTGTAAAAAATAAAAGATGCCCGCGAAGAAGCCTTCAGGAGTTCAGTATAGGAAGCGAAAAGCTCTATTGCAATCTCATTTGCAGCAAGGGGCAAATGTGATGGGAAAAATATCTGAAACAGAACGTAGACCAGGCTTTCAGCAGTAGTGATCGTCCCAGGGCAGAAGAAATTGAGGAATTTATTTGCTTAGATATGGCTCTTCTGCTGCCAAGAACTCTGTGATACATCCAGAGGCCATCGGGGACCCGAGTCAAGGTGGGGCAGCATAGCCACATGAAAGCAATAGGGGTCAGACCCTGGGTCCCACCTTAAAGCAGCCAGACCCTCCAGGCTCCTGGTCCCTAGGTCCGAGCCCTTGCTTAGCACTGTGTAGACATGTCCTAAAGTGTGTCTGTCTGTTATGTGTACAAAGAGTCAACAGTCTGTGAATCATATTGACAGAGACTGACCCTGTCCTCAGTGCTGACCATACTAAATGAGTCTATGCAGCCCAGTGGCTGGACACATTTCAATTTGACAACATGTGTCAACTGGCTGCTCATTGATGCTAAACACAGTAGCCAGGGCCCTACAGCTGGGGAGCTCACACGTGCAGTGGCAGCTAACCCCCTCCCAGTGAAATGGTAGCTTGTAAGCCAACTTGTCCTGCTGTCCGTGCTTCAGATTTGAGGTTAGAGTGAAGGCAGATGGCAAGTGTGCACAGCAGAGGAAGGGGGGAAGGGAAGGGGCGTGTGCTAGGCCTACTTTTACAAAGGTGAACTCAAGGTAAGTTGAGCTGCCTGTTACCTTCTGAAGAGGAGAAAAAAAACAAGCACAACTCAACTGTAGGACACGTCATTGCAAACTGCATGCACCATCTGCCTTTTGGGCCTGAAATTGGGGAGGCATTGGTTAAAATCAAACAAAGTGTATCATCCAAATGTGTCACTCACACTGCGTGTAATGCAAGAGGCCATGATTCAACTGCAGCTTCACCGACCCTAGCTATCATACACAAGCAGCTGACACGCTCTCTTACAACTTGTCCGATCCTTCTTATGCCTCCACTTATGGAAGTTTTTTGCTCTTGCAAATGTTTATTAGACCAGTCACCAGCCACCTAAGACCTCTGCTCTCACAGGACAAGTAACAAAGATGTGTACCAGTCAGCCACGTGTTACTATGAGATTCAAAGTCAGTTCAGCTTTGTGATCCTACACTGTTTCTCAGGGGGGGGACCAAATCTGATAGCCTTTTGCCGGCAGTGAGGCATGAATAAGCTTCTCCCATTAGCTTTAGTATCTCTTATGGCTGGCTCTTTCTGTAAATATCTCCGCCTTTTAGCACATCTGCAACTGCTCCTCACAACACAGCCAATGCTCTTTAGCCCCTGTCGGATGCAGGCCCCGGTGGGCTGAGAGGTATTCGCTGGTAGAAATGGTCAGAGTGCACAGCTGAGTGAGGCAGGAAGGTTTACATTTCTGTAGTTACTTTGATAATAAGAAAGAGTGATCTAGGAATCATGGGGTAGCAATTGCACTGTTATCTGCTTTTACAATAGCACTATTATACATCACAGCACCATCACACCTGTGGGAGGAGATGCAGGGACAAGGGGTCCAGGCAGCTGAATTCTTTTCCAGGCCCTACCCCGGACCTTGAGCAAGTTCCATTAATTCCCTCACTAGCTGGGCTCTAAGCGGTCTTGTGGAGGTAATGGGGTGTGGTGAGTGAGTGTGGTGTCCAGCCCACTAGGGCCTTCTGATGGTGTATTTTCATGCCACCTAGAGCCTAATAGGAGTGCTCACTTTGGGAGTTCTTACAGGTCTACCTTATGCCCCGGCTGGAGTTCCGGGGGGTGGGGGGAAGACAGTGCACAGGACTGGGCTACCCAGAGGTAAGCTATCATTGCCTGCTCATCACAGCAGCCAGACAAAACCCAGCCTCCCTGTCCCCTGTGGTGGGTTACAGAGTTCTAAGCCTGCTGGGGCAGGGGCGCACTCCCTCTTCTGCTCATCCATCAAGCTCTGCGAGAAGCCTGAACCCTAGTTTTGCCCCAGGCCGGATCCAGGCCATGGGCTGTGTTCACTGGGGCCCATAACTGTCGCCTTGCATGGAGTACAAGATTGCCTTTAGAAAGGCTCCTAGGCCTTGTGGCTTCCTGGGGACGTGACTGCCTGTGACCCTTGCTAGTGCTGGCTTTGGTAGCTAAGCCAGCTCCAAGAAGGGTGGACTGCCCCCTGCTGGAGTCTTAGTGACCAAGCCTGTGTGACTCCTACAGTGATTCCACTTGATGCAGTGTTATGCAAAGTTCAGCCTCCTGCACCCGGGCAAGGGATCTGCCTAGACCTCCCCACCCCATCCCTGCTCATCTGGCTTCACACTGCCCCGAGGGAGAGGGGCTGTTCCATGGCCCAGCAGCCTCCTGTTTCTACCTCCCACTTCCAGACGGGAGCTAGGAGCTGCTGTCCACACTGGCATCTGGACCCAAGCCCCAGTGGGTTGTGAAGTGCTGTGATAATTGCACCACTTTGCCTTAGTCCTGGGCTGCTTGTACAAGCTACTGTCCCCCCCCTTTCTCCAGCGGGAGGGGCTTTTCCAGCCCTCTAGAGCAAGGTAGAGCTGCTCTAATTCTAGCTCTAGGGCAGAGTTTCTAGCATTTGGTTGGAGATGTTAATATACAAACTAGCACAGCTTCTTTAACTGACAGGTAGAACACCCTGACCTACTCGGCTCCTGCTGCCAAGCTGGAGAGCTTCCGGCTCCCACTCCCAGAAGCCAGCAGGGAGAGATCTGGCTGGTTTCCTGTAGCAAGCACACTACTCACTCCTGTGGATGGTGGCATTAACCCTCTGCCTTAATGCTCTTTTGAAGCGAAAAAGAAAAAAAAAAAGTCTCCAAATGGTCAAAGCAAACTGTCTGAACTTAGTCTTTTCACCCAAAGCTGTGTTTAGTTCAGCAAGTAGTTTTTGGTGGGGTTGAGACAGGTGGTTTCAGAGGTGGGGCTGTGGTGAATGGTCTAGGAGGGAGAGGGTCCTGCTAGGACAGCAGCTCCCTATTGACAGGCACCAACATCTGCTATTTGCATAGCAGCTACTGCCATCTCCCTCTGAGGGCAACAGGGCACCTTGAACCCCTAAGGTAGAGGAAAGTCACCCTCTGGAGTTGCTACAATTCAGATTTCAGAGGAACAGCCGTGTTAGTCTGTATTTGCAAAAAGAAAAGGAGTACTTGTGGCACCTTAGAGACTAACCAATATATTTGAGCATGCTCGGGGGTCGCATAACTAGTTAGCATGCCAGAGTCTTGTTCGTTATCGGAATTAACCAGACAAATCGCTCCACCAACTAAGAACGGCCATGCACCCCCGAGCATGCTCAAATAAATTGGTTAGTCTCTAAGGTGCCACAAGTACTCCTTTTCTTTTTACAATTCAGATGTTGGTCACTGATCCAACTGGGTGCCCCCTTTCAGCCACCCACCAGACAGCTGTGAAGGAAATCCAGGCCCCCTACATCCACAGCTGCTCCAAGCCTCTTGGAGCCTAGCCACTGCCCCAGTCTTTGGGTCCCAGCACTCTTGGGGGTGCAGACCCCATCCTGAGAACTGTAGCCTGCTGTGTATAGTTGCCCAGACCCTGAGCTCTCTCCTGACCTCAGACTCTCCTGCACTTAAAGACCCTCTTCCAGAATTCCCCCCAAAGGGTGAGCCTTTGGGTCACTGGTAACTCCCCAGTAGCATGGGGTACATGTGAAGCATGTACCCACATCCACATCATTTCACTTACAGAGTACCACAGTGTACAGGACATTTAGAGATGGGAACATCCTATCTGCAGTGCCCCTCACTAGCTCACCCTTCCCCTGGAAGGGGACCATCTGGGCTCAGGAAAGTATGCAGTGTTTCTAGCCCACCTGACACAGGGGAACATGTAGGGTGGCCCCTCTTTCAGAGTGGTTTTCCCCAGCTTCCATCCTGCCCAATGCCACCTCTTGCTTAGAGCCATCCAGTATCCTCTATCAGGAGGCACCATGCTAAGCCCTAGCCACATCTTTGTGTGCATTTGTAGAACACCTGGCTCCACTGGGACCCTGAACCTAGTTGGGTCTCCTTCCCTGGTGGAAGTTTTAGGGGCAGCCAGGTGAGATTTCATTCCTCAGACACTCTGCAGGGCCTTGTTTGTTAAACTAGGACTCACTCTGGTTGTCCAATGTACTATTAAGCTGCATTCTACTGAAGGGTAGAGACAAAAGCACATGCTCTCATTTGTTGAGTGTGGGGATAAGAGGCTATGGTACCCCTTTGTCCTCTGAGCACTTCAAAGGAAAAAAGTTCTCTAGCTGAACAGTTGTGACCTTGTCTGTTAGAAGCCCAGATGGTGCAGACACCAGTTAGCCAAGCATGTCTGATCAGTGTAAGAGCCATGGGAAAAGGGTTCCTTTTACTCCGCTTGAAATGGGAGCCACACAGTGAGGTCTTCCATTAGTATTGAGGGAGGATAATCAGCCAGCACCCCGTATTGCAAGCCTATTGCTTACCCAGGCTGCTCAAGCCAAATCTGCAGCCCTACAGAGTTAAACTATAGACTCCCCCCAGTTACTCTTGTGAAAAGCAGTATCCTTACAAGGCAAGGCTGACCCTGGACTGCCAAAAGATCTACTGGCCACCCAATTGCATGTCCCTGTTACTCAGATGCAGGTTTTTAAATCACATCTGTACAAGTAGCCATATTTGCATCAGAACATCCATACCTGAAGAGGAGACACTGCCCAGGAATATTTACTGACCAGCATTCACACCAATACTAAGTGAGGAATTTGTGACTAAGACACTCAAGGGTTCTGCAAATGTTACTTTATTGAGAGAATTCAAGTTTCCAACATGAAGTTATTCTATCTTCATAGGAGTTACCAGCTCCTGCTGGAAGAAAAAAAGCGTTTGATTTTCGCGTTTGTTTGTATCCAGGAGGCAGAACTGGTCTCCCACATACAGCACTGTTAGTTGGCAAGTGGTGCCCTGTGCCTGAGGACCTGGCTAGTTTACTGCCCATGTGATCAACACATGCAGTTTTACTGTAAGTGAAGAGCTGCTGGCCCTTGGTTGGAGACTAAGAGGCTTCTTAGAGGCAAGCCTAAACAGTCTCCATTTCCAATCCTTGGAGCAATTAGGGCTCCAGGAGTTTATTTTTTAAGTGACCTGAGCAGTCTAGCAGCATTAGCCTTAGGGAGTGCTGCCCCTGTAGGCCTGAGCTTGGATGCCTAGTGGTCAGTGTCCCCCTGCCCCCAGTTTGGTGTAGTACAGCTTTCTCTAGTACAGGAAATAAACGCACCCCCTAAGCCACTTGGTCTTTTATAAGGGCATTGAGAAAGGTTGGATAAGTTCACAGGCACAATTTGGTCCTGTGCCAATGGAAGCAGTGCTCCTCCCCCACTCTAGAAAGTTTTAGTCCGATATCCCATGTGTGGTCTGCCTGAAAGGTAGGTCAGCCATGCATCCCATGGGCCTGACCAAGTCACAGGTGTTTGAGTCTAGAAGACTCCGGTTGCCTTCTCACCTGTTCTCTGTCATAGGCTTCATTGATGAAGGTCTCATTGTTTGTGAGGTTCTCTTCTTCCATGAGGTCGCTGTCCTTGTGGTAGCTGGTCAGAGTCTTAGAGGATGCTGTACTGGAGGTCCTGCATTAGGAGAGTAAACACTTCTCTAACTACAATGCAATGAAGTAAAACTGCTTCAGAACTGACAGCTGATCGGTTCCTAATGTTAAGAGCCTTGGACCAAAAATCTAGCATGAGAAAGGCTGTTCAGAATAGCAATTCAGGGACACCACACCACATGTAGCCCTGAGCGCAGGATGCCTTTGACAGTAGGGCCCCACACAGCAAGCTGAGTCATGGAAGCACTGGTAGAAGAGTGTTTGCCAAGGCCCATTCTAGACAGATGGGCCTCCTGTTGCCCCAAGGCGTTTTACCCTTCCCCATCACTGGCCATACAATCCTGCAGTAGGGATGGGCTTGGGGATGCTTGTAGGGTGTCAGGTTTAAAGCCTTTTGGTACATCATATTGCAAAAGGCTGGAGTCTAATGTATCAAAGCCCTCCCAATATGATCCCTGGGTTAAGTTGTCTAGCAAGATTGGTTGTTGCAGTCTTTAGAAGTACTCCTAGAGCTGCAGTTCTATTTACAGCTCTCCAGAAAACAAGTATTTGTTTTTGCTCCAATACCATTGGTAAGAGCACATCTACATTTTGAGTTGGAGGTATAGTTAGCAGGTTACCTGTACCAGGCCTAGTACAGGTATGTCTCAAGATGGAGATCTAACAGCATATCTACATTAGAGGCAGAAGTTGTAGGTACTTTGCCTCAATTAGGGATTCAAACTTTATACCATTCTGTAGAGATACTGTTGGAGGTCTTTTTATGCCAGCTGAATTCAAGATAGTGCATAGTGTTAAGGGAACTAAGTTCCCAGTAGTGCCAGTGACCCCCTAGTGGTTGGCATACTGACACCAGTGGATCAATAAGTGTTGGTGGCCCATAACATTTTAGGAAGTGGTCTGCAGAAGCAGCTGGGAAAGGCCCTGCTGTATACTGCATGGAGTAGGCTCCTGTCAGGTTCACCTGGTCACCCTCTGACTTGGTGTGGTGTCTCCACAGGAAAGGAGAAGAATGGGGGACAGATTAAGAGGCAAAGGAAGCAACCCATTCACAGCCCCTAGTCTGTGAGCCAGGTGATTTAGTGCTGTTTAAGAGGCTTGGATCTGACAAGCCTTGAGGGTGGCCTGGGGAAAGGCCAACAGCAGTACCTTTGCTATGGTGTGACTACAATATTTTAAGGCACCCAGCTTTACAGTTTAGAGCCATGCTTCTTGTATGTGGAAGGAGGAAACTTGACTCCATTACAATATTAACACCAAGGCTGTTCTGCTGCTAGATTCCATATTAGGGAAGAGGTAAGGAGCCCCAGCTGCAGGAGGCTTGTAAATTTGGAGACACTGAGAAAGCCTAACCTGGTATATGCTACAGGGGCTGTTTGGAGAGGTTCTTTCCCTTCAAAACTGTCCAAGGGACAGCCCCCTCCCCCAAACAAGGGTTTGTTTTCAATAGTTCATACTTGTGTAGGAAGCACCCGTTAGCAACATGGTCCAGTGTGGGCAGCCAAGTTACAACTGCTTGCTAGGTGCGTAGATTCCTAGCCCCAGACGAGACAGATGACCACTTGTACAACACTAAGTTAGACCTCTTGTTTGTGCTTCATGAGCAGTTCAAACAGAGCATTGGAGGAATCCGAACCAGGCTTTCCTCAGCGCAGGCTGCTGTACGTGCACTGCACAGCAGTTACTTTCACGAATGCTTACTACGGACATTTGGTGGAGTCAACAAGCTCCTATTACTGCTGACTGAACATTCAGGTAACCGGGGGGAACAATTCTCATTATGAAGTCAGACAGAAAAAGGGAGAGTCTTACCTCTTTAGAGTGTGTTGCCGCCTCATGTAGACAAAAGCTCCCACCACTGCCATGACTATGAGCAAGACTACAGCTGTGCCTAAGATAATGGGACCAGTGGCAGATTTGACCTCTGTCTCTTCACAGTAATCACCACTGTACCCCAACATGCAGCTACACTTCACTCGGTCCTCTTCAATGGTACAGTCCCCTCTCATGTTACAGGTTTCACGGCTGCAAGGTTGGGGCTCTGGACCACTTTCAATGTTCTCAGGTGAAGTAGACGGTTCTGTGTATTCCCACATACTAGATACGGTGGTCCTGCTTTCTCTGTATGGGGGAGGTGTCTGTATAGCTGGGGTTTTTCTTCCAGGGTACTTTGTCCCTTTTGGGTGCAGGTATCTGGTTCCAGTGATAGGTCTTTTGGTGATTGTCTGGACACATGTTGGTGCTAGTACTTCCTCTTCCTTTCCAAAGCCTGGCTTTGCTGGAGTTGGGGCTGTTGTAGACCAGGGCTTCTCTCTGTCCAGGTATTTGCCTAGGAGGAGGAAATATAGTGTTGTTAGATCTAACAATGTCAAGAGCTAGTTTGGAGTTTAGTTGATCTTAAGTGGATTAAAGGATAAGCTCTCAGTATGGCTTGGGTAAGTGGGACAAGTAGGGGGAAGAGCTAAAGTTACCTGGGAGAATATACTGCATGAACATGTGGGACTTCTCACCTTGTCTGCCTGCAGTGAGGCAGACATCAGTGGCTCCTTGGTAGCCTCTTGGCAGTGCATCTAGGAGGGGTTTATTGTGTTTGGACAAGAGGTGGGGGCTATAGATCTATTAGAGTTCCAGGGGCATAGGAAGGGTCTTTCCTGCACCCCTTGAGCATCAAGGATCAGTGCTGCAATTTAGAGACATTGCTGCCTACCACCCTATTTCCTGTTGGAGAATGGATGCAGGTTTCACATAGTGATAGCAAGACCATAGTGATACCAAGGTACGTGTTTGATAGACATGAAGAGGACTCCTAGACTAACTGACCAGTAGCTGGTTTAAGCTAACAGGACAAATTCCATCTCAGGGAATGGAGTAGGGAAGATTATGGATACTAACCCTAACCAAAGCAGAGGTTAGGGCATGAAATTAATGTTTACAGGATAAGTCTCTGGTGCCAGACCTCTAGATGTGCAGAAAGTGTTACTCACAAGCCAGCTCATCAGATCCATCCAAGCAGTCATTGTGGCCATCACAAGCTTGCTCCCTGGTAAAGCATTTCAGCTTATCTTTGCAGGCTTCAAGTGGTTCAGGGCACATCACAGCTCTAGTACATTTGGTACTGTGCTCCAGATGGTACCCGACAGTGCATTTGCAGACCCTTCCCTGATGGTTTGGCAAGCAGAGCTGGCTGCATCCCCCATTGTTCTCCGAACAGCCATTACTGCCTATGAATGAAAAAACAAACATGACACAAGAGTGACTACCATTCTTAAAGATGTCAGTCGTCTGAATGGAGGAGAGTCAGCAGGAGGTCCGGACTGGTGTCCCAGCTAGAACTCCTTTCTTCATATGTGCATCATTGCCTCAAATGGAGGGAGACCAAGGAGAGAGAGAGAGACAGACACAGGTAGACCAGCTTAGTGCCATGGAGACAGTCTCTGGAATCTACAGGAGAAAGTTTTAATTCTGGTTTTATCAGAATTTCACCCCTTTATACCATAGCAGAGTTTTAGACTCACCTTGTTGGGTGAACTTGCTGTAGATTTTTAGGTCCACAATCTTCTGGTCCACTTGAAACCACCAGTTTTCCATAAGTTCCAGTTTGCTATGCCACACTCTAGTTAAGCCTAGCAGACAGAAAGGACACTGATTCAGTGCTACAAGTCAGCTTTCCACGTGCACATTATACATGCAGGACCAACAGTGAGGGGTGCGTGCAGATATGGAATTCCTCCTAGGGTACAAGGCTCTGCTAGAAACAGACAGCTTGAGCCAGAAGTTCAAGAGGTCTCCTCTACACTTCAGGATGGGTCTGCAGGAAGACATCCAAAACTAGAACTGTCTCAGCTAGAGTGAGACCAAAGAATTTATGACACTAGGATGATCCAAAGGCCATACATAGAGCTTCTCTCCCTGCCTGCTCCCCCCCACCCCCCAAGGCAGGCTACATTAGGCACCACTTGCAGAAGTCCAATTTGTGCCATTAGAGTGCAGAGTTTTAGACTAGTGTCTAAAGGAAGAAGAGATGGAAGTTAGCTGACTATCCACCCCCCCCCCATCCTAACCTAGGAAAACCTCAACTGGAAGCCCAGTATGCTCTGGCAGGCAGCCAATATGCTCAAGCCAATCCAAGGTATTAAGGGAACTTGTTAAAGCCCACAAACACCAAGATGGATTAATTGGGCACTTCCCCACACTCAGTGGTATAAGCCAGGGATTGTGGGGAGAGGCTATAAAAAAAAAGACTAATTTAAAATTAAGACTGAGTTTGAATCTAGAGGCAAGTGATCCAAGATCATTGGTAGGCCCAGGACAGTGTGCTATCCATTTACAGCATTAGCTCCATATTGGAAAACAAAAGTCCCTATCTATTCTAAGAGCTGCTCTCCTTGGAGATGTTCCTTTTATTAGTTTAAGGGATGTTATGGAAGGGGTCTGTGTTATTGCAACTGGCTTACCATTGCGGGTAGTTGTCCAGACCATCATCCCTTCACCGGCTGCGAAGAGTGTGAGGCCATGCAGCCCTCCCCGAATTATCCTGAACCTGGAACCATCCAGCTGAATGCTTTCGACAACACCTTTTGCTACAAGAGGAAACATCTTGTTCAGGTTTCAGAGATGAAGATAGATGTAGCAATGTGTGACTGTCAGTTATCCAGCCAGGTTGGATTAAACATGTGAATCAAGAAGTGCCAATGAATACCATGTCTAAACCCTTAGACAACAGGGCACATGCTTGTGCCAAGTCACTAAGCTCGGGGGGAGGGGGGCAGTTCTGTTTGGGACTTATTTATAGAGGCTTGCAGGTAGCAGGCTAGTTTAATGTCCCTCAGAGTGAACTCACTGCTTTGCTCAGAGCCCTGGCCTTTCCACACATCCCATAAGTCAGTGTGCTGTACCAATATCTAGCCACATACCACATGGACATCCCTAGCAGCTGTGGCCACCAACTATTTGTCATGCTCCCAATTGAAAAACAAGACAAGAGACAAAATAAAGCAGTCTTATTCCATGCATTATTTGAAACAGGGCCATGTTAAAGTTCTGCAGTTTGCTTTTAGGATGCCAGTCCAGCAGTGGTGCAGCATACCACTTTACACAGCTATGCTGTAGTGGAGGGGACAGCCAAGCAGCATTTGGGTTACTAAGCTTGCAATTCTGAGCTGTGGTCTTGCCCTCTTCCACAGAGGAAGAGCAGGCACTCTGTTTGGCTAAGGCAATGCTTGCCTACAGGAATAGACATGTGCTGGAACCAGACTACATGGGTCTCAAATAAGCTCGAAAGAGGCCTTGCAGTGAACATGCTCTAGTGGTAAATTCTCCTGCAGCAGTGCGCTAACCATGGCGAGAGACTCCCTGCCCTGAAGAGTTTGCAGCTTAGTGGAGCCACATGGGCAAGTTCCTGTATTCTCCAGGAGAGCCAGGTCTCCCGTGCTTACCATGGTCAGCCCAGTAGAGCCGAGTGCCAGTGTCTCCAAAAGTTAGGCCAACTGGCCTTTGGGATTTCCTCCAGAGCACCTTTCTGCTGCTTCCATCCATGGATGCACACTCAATCTTCGGGCCAACACTATGGTTCTCCATACCCAAGTCAGCAAAGCACATCATGCTAGTAGGGGGGTGCAGTACAACCGAGACTGCGTGATAGAGCTCGTTGCTGATCAGCACAAGAGTGTAGCGGCCGTTTGAAGTTGCCACTCGAATATCTGGATTCTGGCTGTCGATCCAGTAGATGTTGCCACTCAGCCCGTCGAGGGCTAGAGATACCACAGTGCCCTCCACTGGCACCACTCCCTTCCAGGACAGCTTGCCAGAGTCCTTGATTCTCAGCCGCCTGATGTAGCCATCTTCCCGGTCAGCAAAGTAGAGGGCCTTATCCCGCACTGAGTAGTCTATGGCTGTCAAGTAGTTCACATTAGTGAGAGGGAAAACTCTGTGCTCAGGAAGAGTTGCCCCCCTGGCTGCAGAGGGCAGCTTTTTCAGGTACACCTGGAGTTAAAGACAAGATTAGTGAAATCTTAGTCCTGTTCTTTAAGTCTGAGCTTTACTGTAGGCTTTCCAGGCTCCTTGCTAGGGGTGGGGGGGAGAACATAGGACACATTCCTAGATCAGCCACTCAGTGTTCTATTCCTTGCAACTCTGAGGGATTAGATTTCACTTTCTGGACCAAGGTTTGGCAGATTATTGTTTAACACTAGGGTGGAGTCTAGTTCTTCCTGCTGGTATTGGGCTCACACAGGTGACTGACAGAATCTGAGTTCACTTGGCCAGTCATGCAGAAGTACATTCACATTGAGGAGCACACTAGGTTGTCTTTACTGGTGAGACTACTATAAAGCAAGCAAATTTATGAGTCAGCTTGCTGTTACTTTACAATATTAACACTGGAGCCATTTCTTGGCTCCTTCCAGGAAGCTGTGGGTTATAGAGTCTCCTAGGACAGAGCCATTGCAGGTTGTTACAGAATCCTCTCCAGTCATGTGTCTCAAAGGAGAGCTATCCTATGGGACATGCTTGTTTTCTGTCTGACCTTGTAGCAGAGTGGTACCTGAGTAATCACTGTTGGGGCAACCAGGAACATGAATGCTGAATCCTTAAGAGGAATGCAGTTCTTCTCATCAGCAAGCACTTCTCCAATTGGACACCGACAGCTTCCTTTGTGTTTTGGGTTCAGCAGACATAAGTGGGAGCAGCCAAGTTCCCGACAAGGGTTAGGGGCTGTTGGTTGTAGCACTTCATGCATTATCTAAAAGAAAGGCCTGGCAGTCAGTACTAGTAAGCAAAGCAGAGCCACCACAAGTGTCTCTACAATGCAAGCCCTCCATTTGCTTATGGTTCTCTCCTGCAACTATACACCAGAAAGGCCACCTGGGGTCCACAACAGGAAAAGATTAGTTTACATGGACCTTTGAGTGGAGGCCCAGCCAGGAGGGTAACTGGTGGGAGTGAGTTTGAGGAAATGAGAGAAGCATTTGGATTAGTCTGCTGGGGAAGAACCAGTGCAGAGAAAGACCTGTGCAGGGGTTAGCTGCTCCATGTTGGAGCTTGACACCAGTTGGCTTGAAGTTGTGTGTTCAGAGGAATCAGAGTTCCTGTGTGTCATATGAGGGGTCAGATGTTTGACTAGTTCTATGAATCACCACAGGTGTGGTGACTAAGGAATTAGGACTTGGAGCCCTTTTGAATGGCAACATGGGGGGTGGTTAAAGATTTCCCCCTAGATAGCTTGGCTCCCCTCCAAGAGGCCACCCCACCCTTTAGTAACACTATTATACCATGCCTCATGCACAGTTCCCAGGGAATTGTTTGGTCATTGGAAGTTAGCAGCAGGGGAGGTTGTGAGGAGGGAGAAGAGCCCTAAGGTTTGGGCTAGTGGGAGAGGGTGAGGGGAGAAGCATCTATGTATTGCACAGCTAGTTAGAGTCTGCTGCTTTGCAGGTACCTTTAGGCCATAGGGCTGCCCATGACGCTTGATCAGCACAGTCCTGTTCTTGCCAGTCTTTTTGTCCACTTTCTGCACAGTCCTGGTTTTCATATCAGACCAGTAGGTATCATCCTCAAACACAGCTACTGAGAAAGGGCTCTTGATCTGGGTCAGCTGGAACACCTAAGAGAGGTTAAGTCCATCAGATGTAGCAAGTCTGATGACAGGCAGGCCTGCCTCTAAAACCAGCTGCACCGTACCTTTATGCCAGTGCCATCCAGGTTGGCAGAGCCAATGCAGTGAAGCTTATCATCAGACCAGAAGATTTTCCAGCTCAGGAGGTCGACAGCTAAGCCAGTCGGCCAGCCCAGCCCTTCGTCAATGAGGATTTTCCTGTTGCTGCCATCCATGCCAGCTTGCTCTATTTGAGGTTTGTCCCCTATTTCAGACCAGTACATTAAGCTATACAATGAGGGTGGGGGGAAGAAAATAGATATTTCAGCCACTGTATCACATTGAAGAGATCTGTCTGCAAAAGCAAGTCTCATTACAATTTGCAACATAATAATTAGAGCAGATTTTCAGAGGGGTATGCATTGAAAGCAGACCATTTCCATTATCTGAACACTCTACTTTGCAGTATTTCTGATTTGGTGCTTTTAGCCACGTAACCCAGCCCAGCTGCTGCTGGAGAAAAGTGCTCTCTAAATGGCTCAAATTATTGTAATTGCAGAAAACTCTGACTCTCCAGAGCAGGAGCACAGCTTGTCTAGACTAGGTAAGTGGTGTGTGCAGGGGCCAAACAGCTTTTTAAAAAAGCTCTGTACTACTGCTTACGTTAGAGGCAGACATGGGATGGCAATATACTGTTCATCCCATGCCCTGCAGCGGGGAAGGAGCATTCCTTCAGAGGATGAATTAAGCCAAGTCAAAGCTTGATGGAGTCTAGCTGTTTTGACTTGCTAGTTGCTTGTTCTCCTGCAATGAGGCAGCTATTACACAGGTAATCAGTGTTTAGTGTCACTGCATACCAGCAACAGAAAGCTTGACACTGCACTGAGCTCTGAAGGTCATTAGGAGCCAGTAGATAGTACTAATGCAGTACCCTTTCCTCTGCACTCCACCTGGTCCAGGGTGACTTGCAGTTATGGCTAGTCAGAGGCCGAGGAAGGCATAGTAGTGTTAGCAAGCTGTTCCGAACAGTACTGAGCTTAGGGATATATTCTCATCTCTGTACTAAACTTAATTGCCCGCATGGTGTGAGTTTACACTGCACCACCAGTGGCTACAGAGGGAGTTAGGCAAAACACTAGTTCATGTCCCATTGCATCTCAGGTTAGAGAGCTTAGTTTACAGGGGGAGGGAGAGGAGTCAGCCCATCTTCCATTACTGGACAGAGTTGAAGACTAGCAGGCCTATCTCCAGCTGGAAGGTGGCTGCTGTATTGTGAGGATGGGACAGGAGGACAGAGGCCTTACCCTTGCAGTGGTTGCAGAGCCAGTGAGCGAGGCTGATCCAAGTCTCCATCCAGAACCACGGTGTACTCTGGGTTGCCTCTCCAAGTAGCATTCAGCCAAGTGGCCAGCAGCTCTCCTGCTGTCCCATCTGTCCAGTAGAGATTCCTCCCAATCCAGTCCACTGCAATGCAGTCAGACTTGATGCCTGAAACCAAAGAGCCACTTATAGGTTAGTCTTTCTGAAGAGAACTGAGGAGGACAGGTATCCCTGCCAAGGTAGCCATGCCTGGGGGGGCAGAGAGGCTACATGGATTTTAGGAACTCTTCACTCATAGGGGGTCAGAGCACCAAAGCAGCTTTAAGGTTGACCTTCAAGGAAGGACAGATTAAGGTGAATGGAGCTCTGGGGTGCTGCCCTGCTTGCTTTGCCAGGCACTAGACAGTGTGCCAAGAAGGCGGCCAGCTTTGCTTTGCCAAGAGGCAGCTAGATGGAACATGCAGCCAGTAGTGTTGGGTTTTACCCTGTCCAGGTTTCAGGTGGCTATAGACTTGTGTGGCACATGAGAGCTGAGCATTGCTAAGAAGTCAGTGGGAACTACAGACCCTGAAGGATCTGGAAGCTGCAGGGGGTTTTGGCACTTGGAGTAAGTTTGTGATCATGGGCTAAACACACTGGTGGCCTGTCTGCCAAGTGAGATTGTGCCAGGTTTTAGTCATTCTGGCTTTCTGCACTAGGCCTATAAACAGATGTTCACAGCTTAGCTGCAATGTCAGGCTGTCTGCACTCAACCATCTGTGTTTTGGAAGTTCCTTTATAGGAAGGCTAGAAAATGCCACTTGATTTGGGAGCACAGTTCAGCAAGTTCTGGGGCTGTGAGACACTGGGTCCAGCGTTCAGGTTACTTTACCCTGACAGCAGCTAGTTCCTTTGCTGGGGCACCTGGTTTCTGTACTGGACAGACCATTTACAACTCTTAAAGAGCAATGAGACTGAATAGCTGACAAGCCGCACATGTCAGCCTGATTTAAGGGCCTTGGACATGTCAGGCCCAGTTGTCTCCAGTTAAGGGTAGGGGGAAGGAGAAGATCTGTCCCCCAATGCAGGCTATGCCACTTGGCTTCAGACTCCACTTGGAGTAACTGCAGAGGCAGCAAGTAAATCTTGGGCAGTTCTCCAGAACAGGAGGCTGCTGAGGTACTGAAATTCAGCTGTGGCCCTGCTGTAACTAGTTCCTGCAGCCTGGGGAAAGTGAGAACAGGAGCTCAACTTGTCTAGGCTTTGCTTTCTTTGTGGTGCCATTTGAGGCAGGTCATCCTGTTTAGTCTGCAAACAAACAGCAATACCCTTCCTGCAGAAGCCAGCAGCTAGTAATCGCAGCAAGGTCTGGAAGGGAAAGTTGAATCCTAGGCCCCCCACCTTTCACAAGTGTTCCTTTTTTCTGGGTGTTCATGGTTATCCATTTGATACTTTCTGCATTGAGATCCATCCAAAAGACCTTCTGCTCCACCAAGTCGTAGTCAAGAGAGAAGATGATCAGGTTCTTGTCAATCGTCATCAGGATGTCCTCTTTCAAACTCCTCAGCCCGTAGAGCAATAGCTCAGACTGGATTGCTACAAGCAATTTTGGCTCTGACCCTACAATCAGACAGAACCCCATAGGCAGGGGAGAGTTAGTTCCTCTAGACCCTGCTATTGTATCTTCTCCATCCCAGCCAGACCCCACTCCCAGCCTTGGGTAGGTATGTGAACAGCCTAAGCATAGCAAGGTGGTGGCTTCCTGGGAACTGGTGCTAAAAGACAGGACTTAGAGGACACTAAGGGAAAGTTGTGCTAACAGCCTGGAGACAAAGGGCCATGGAGTTCTGCAGCGCTTCAGGCAGGGGGCCAGCCCTACAAGGGAGACTGTTCTGATGTTGCTGAGACCCCAGTGTGGAGGGATTCCCTCTGCCTCCAAGAGGTCAGTGTCAAAGCTGTACCCTAGGATCACCAGCTCCCTCTGGCAGGATTAAGGAAAAAGAAGCCCATGACCTGAAGCTAGCCTAGTTGTTCAGGACCAAGAATGATCAGGGCATGTGCAGAGTCCACTTCCCCTCTGAGCAGTATCAGAGTGGGAACAGGGGTCTGTGGGGCTTCAGGCTTCAAACAAGGACAGATTCCAGTGGGTTACCCTGGGGCTCAGGTCTCCCTGGCATGCTGGCTTGGTGGTGTTCCTTAGCCAGCTTGCACAGGGGCTACCAATATCAGACTAACCCCACTACACTGAAGATTGTAGAGGGAGGACTTTGGAGGAGATCTGCCCGATGGATGTCAGGTCCCTTGCCTGGGAAGGGCTCAGAGCCCTGTTTTGAGCACTGCAAGGAACTAAGGGTCATTGTGGTCTTACCAGTCACTTTACATGTGTGGGCATCTGGTTCCAGCAGGTAGCCTGGGTGACAGGTACAGCTGTAGGTGCCATTTGTATTGACACAGGTCTGACTGCATGGCTCATGCTCTTGGCACTCATTGATGTCTGTGCAGGACACTCTGTTGCTGCTCAGTTTGAATCCCCATTGGCAAGCACACCTCTGAAAGCAGGGAGAGTTGTCAGCTTGCCACTTTCCTCTAGCCAGTCAGGTTAGCAGAGTCCCCAGGGCATGGGCCATTTGGGACTCAGGCTTGCAGAGCCTACAGTAGGATCCACAGACAGGGGCCTAATGGATGTTAGGGCCAAGAGCACTAATGAGGTGCTTGGACCAGCCCCATTACTGGGGAAGGAGGGAATATGCTGCAACAGTGCTGGAGTGGCTGCCTTCCCTCACCTCCTGCATGAGAGGAGGAGCAGCAGCGTTCCCTGCTTCCCCCCTTGGGAGCCCGAGGGAAAGCAAGGTAGGAGTTCAGCTGGTGCTGAGTGGGAGTGCCGAGCAGAGAATGGTGCCTCTTCAAGAGCCAGCTACTGTCAGACCCCCACTCTTTGCCCCAGCCCTGGGTGGGCAAGTGGAGCCACTGTCAAGTGGGTGCATTGAGGCCAGCTGGGGTCTGGAGCACAGTGCACTCTGGCCAGCCTCCCTGCTCAACAAGGTGCAGGAGCCAGATTTGCCAGCTACACCTGCTGGGGGTTCCCCACACTGGGGCTTGCTGGTATAAAAGAGGAACAGAAATACCCAAGTCCCAGTGTGGCCTTTGACTTTCAAATGCATGTTTAGCCTGGGCTGGACACTGACTCCCAGCAATACGGTTACATGGACATCTAGGTGGTTCAGTACTTGGAGAGGCAAGGCATTCTGCTCATGGGGAGGAGAATGTCAGGTGACTGGGTGTCAAGGCGTGGCCAACCAGAAGGCGGATACAAGACAGATTGGCTGCAGCCACACTCCGTGAGAGAGATGTGGGCTTGCTGGAGAATGACCACCAAGATTAGGTCTCCCATCCCCCTCCTGCCAATGGGAGAGCCAAGGAGGGTTAGTTTGTTCAGACCCTGCTGAGGCTCCCTGTACCAAAACTAGGCAATAGGAATTCCTTAGAGTTCCCTTTACTCACAGGTCCATTAGGTGACTGGTAGCAGGTCTGAGAACAGGGTTTCTCACATGGAGACAGACACTTTCCACCTTCATCCGACCCATCTGTACAGTCCTTCTTGCCATTACAGACCAGGGTGTAGTTGAGACATTCATGAGTCCCACACTGGAATTCATGACTCTGGCACTTCTTCAGCTCACCTGAAGAGACATGGGTTTTTATTGGCCACCACCATAGGACAGATGGGGTGTGTTGATGCACAGAGCTCGCTGCCCCATACTACACTGAGGAGCACATCACAAGAGCTTAGGTTAAATGGAGGCTTAAAACTTGTCATCCTGTGACAGGTCAAGAGGATGACATCTATCTTAAAAATGGATTAAATGGCTCAGTAGTTAGAGGCCTACAGAACAGTAGGTTGTTTGCCAGTACCTGGTATATGTTACATCAATTTGTAGATGTACTACTGGCCTAATGTTTAAAGTGTCTGAAGTGTTACAATCCTAGAAATACTCTCCATTTAGTCATGGGCCAAACTCTGCTGCCTGTGGTCACAGATTAGACTGAGGGGAACATGAGACCCTGAGGTGAGGATACCAATTTGGCCTGGTGTTGTAGAGATCAGGTAGTTTTGAAAGCCAAATCTTGTTATTTGCACCATTTACATTTTAGCATTATTAATTTTGTACAACAGTTCAAGGCTGTAGTGTTTCTGGTTGTTTTCACTTGAATTTTAATTAACTTTCCTATTGTCCTTTGGATTGGTCCCTGCTGTAACAGGCAAGGCAGGTAGAGGAAGGGGGAACATACTAGTATTTAAATGCAGCCAGAAGTCTCACAAGATAAGTGAGCTAAGACCCAGACATGGAAGCTCTCCAAGTCTAAAGAGCATCTGTCAAAGCAACAGCTCTGGTGGTAGTGTCTCTTCCACTGTAGAAGCAGTTTTAAAAGCTGCCTTACATCCAGTTTCATCACTGCTATCTCTGCAGTCTTGCTCCCCATCACAGCGCCAGACATCTGGAACACACTGGTCTCCACTGCTGCAGGACCACTGCATTGTGCTGCACTGGAGTTTCTCACGCTCACAGTCCTGCAGATTAATCACACAGTGTTCTGTAGAGGCCCCCTAGGGACAGTCATAGCTTTGTAACCCTTGCTGGTCTGGAGTGTATCATATCTTAACCATGCCAGGATAGGGGTGGTTCCCCAGATGCCTTTTCCACCCCTCCCTCCCACAGGGTCATCCCCACACATTAAGGGCCAAGAGTCCTAGCTTAAGGACTTTTCAGAGGACTGAATTAGGAGCTTATGGTCCCCAGGAAGAGAATTCCTAAAAAAAACAGGAACATTAGCATCTAGGGCAGCAGTTAGCAGGGCTTTTTTTGGAGGCCCTATTTAAGCTTGCTCACTGTTTAGAGAAAGATAGTAAAGGGTCAGAGTGTTCCGCAACATCTGGCAGAAGATGAGCCATTTTTGCTAGATTTTGCCAGGGTTTTAGACTATGAAGAAAGTCCCCTGCCTCCCCCAATCTCATGCTTTGGGCAAAAACATCGGCCCCAGATACTGGACTACAGAAGGTCATGCTCTACTTTAGTATGTCCGATGCTCTGGGTTATAACTTATTCAGCTCATCCTTCAGCGCTTTAAGGACCAGGACAAACTGCTTTAGAAGAAAATGTTCAACTTCTCAGATCTCCCTCATCCCTTAAGTGTTATTGGCAGCTAGTCTATCAGCAGGTCTGAACTCAAAGGAGAGGACCCCAGTTCTGGGAGCATGCAGTGCTAGAAGTTTGCATTCCCCATCCAAGCCCCTGGTAAGTTATGTAGTAGCCTTTATTTCCAATACCTGCTCATCAGTGCCATCCTTGCAGTCTATATCCTCGTCACAGAGCCAGTCCTTCAGCACACACTCCCCACTTCTGGGGCACTTCACCTCCCCCAGGTGGCACAGCAGTGGCTTGGGGACTGCACAGTCCTCCTCATCAGAGCGGTCCTTGCAGTCATTGTCCCCATCACAGCGCATGGAGTAAGAGATGCATTGGCCACTCTTGCACTGGAATTCGGATTTGCTGCACTCTTCGTGAACTGCAAACCAGAGTAGTTTAGTCTAGCTGAGCTGGCTTCCCCAGAGTATATAGGGAGGATGCACTAGTACTTTCAGAGTATACTAGAATAGGCAGAGACATCAGCTACGTAACAGGAATTAAGTTTAGGGAAGCCCATGGTGGGGCAGCCTAGAAGGCTAATGAAGACTACTGCTATTAGGACAGCGTGAGTACTAATGCCATGTTCTGCATGGAAGCAGCTACATACTCCACCCCAGCTGAAGACTGGGGGGTGGGGGTGAATCCTGTTCCCAGCACCCACACTGGCTGCCTTGAGAAGAAGCCCTGTTTGTCTCTTGGGTCTCCACTACCAATCTCAGACACCATTGTCTTGGCTCACTTTAGAGATGCGTCATACCTGGTAAAGGGACTGTAGGGTTTCTATGCTTTTCTAGATGGTGTATTCCTCTAACATGCTGCTCAGAGGTACAAACCAGCCCTAATCCTCCTCTGCAGTACCTGGTGTAAGGGAATTATGTATTATGTCGTGAGCCAAGGAAACCCAAATGCATCTCTGCTGGTCTTACCGCAGCCCTGCTCATCTGCTTCGTCAAGGCAGTCTGGGTTGCCATCGCATAGCCAGCTCTCTGGGATGCAGCGCATGTTGCTGTCACAGCGTAGAGCACAGTCTTGGGTTGGTTTCCAGCAGCTGAGCTCATCTGAGCCATCTGGACATTGCTGCACGCCATCACAGTGATGTTTCTCCTCAATACACTTGTTCCCACTCAGACATTTAAAGGCTCCTGGGAGGAAGGGCACAGCATTAGCTGACCATGCATGTAGGCTCCCCGTCACTCAGTATGACTTTGCAATAGCTAGTCCTTTGCTATGCACTGAAGGATTCTACATGAGCGGGGCACCTAACCTCACTTGCATATAGACCAAGTGATGCAGGTAGCGGTGACAAAGCTGAAGGTTGCTTCCCACAAGTTCCAGATAGTTTTTTTTGGGGGGGGGTGAATTATAACCACTAGGCATTTCTCTCCTTACACAGGAAGGCAGTCCTTGAGTCTCTGCCTGCCTGATTCTAGGTCATGGAAGAGATCTGCACCCCTAGACGGATGGAGATCATGGCCAACTCTCACCTGCTCTGCCACATGTGCTGAGCAGGATGTCTGCTCCCTCTAGTGCAGGAGTGAGGTTGGTCCAGTGAAAGACAAAGCCTCACCCCACCCCTCTAGTATCCTGGGACCAGCAGGGCTACAATACTGCACACTTTAGTGTTACTGAAGTCCACAGCTCTTTGGAAGGGGATGCAGTGCTCAGGGGAGGTTAAAGTGTCACTAAAGACAACAGTATGCCCTCACTGATACATGCAGTCACTTGTGACCAAGACAAAAACAGCTCTAAGTCTGCAGGTCTAAAATCAGATGGGGGACTTCAGAGCCCCTTTCTGTAAGTTACTAACTGTAGTGCAGGAGTATCAGTGTTTTGACCAAGGTTTTCCTTGACTATCTGACACTGGAAGTAGGAAGCTGATTTTAGGATAATAGGCAAGGAAGTTTTGTTTGTGCCTCTGATGGGAGCTTGGCCTTCCTGCAGCAGAGGACAGCCCATGTTTAGATGTAACCCACCTGTCCTGGGTGTGGGGTTCTGTCCCATCTAGTGGCAGAGACCACTTAGTGAGAGATCAAATGAGTCTGCTCTACAGCCTTAGCTAAGAGCCAGTTGGCTTTTAGCTCATGCACCAAGCTCCAGAGGTCCCAGGGTTGATCCTACCTGCTGATGCCTGGGGTCTTTTGGTGCTGCACACACCTCCAAGTCTTTAATATGGAAGAAGACGAGGTTGTGGCTAATGGACACCACCTTGTCCTTTGCCTGTCACTCAATGGTTAGTGATGCTGCTATGTTTGAGCCCATACAAACAGAGTGTACCTGGAGTGTCACACAACTGAGAACAGTCTTCTTCATCAGAGCCGTCCTTACAGTCTCTCTCCCCATCACACAGGTACTCGTGGGCAATGCACTCTGACCCATCTCTGCAAGGTATCCAGGTGCGGGGACAAGACAGAGGTGGCATGGCTGTTGTCTCCGTAACCACTGGGAGACCTGTGGTTCTGGCTGTGGGCTGTGGAAGAGTCACTGGCTCTGGAACTAGAGAGAGTCTTCAGGTTAGCTGGGACCCAGCTCAGCAAGGGAACCATGCTGCGCTTTGTTTCCCCTGCAGAGCGAATACCACCCCCAGGACTGTCTGCTCTTGTTGGCCACAAGAGTTGGTATGAAGGACTTGAGCTCTCAGCCCTGTAAGACTGTTCGGTCCAGGGAACCTCACCCACCATGCCATGCCGCTCGTGAGTCAGCAGATGAAGCACGTGCTTCTTTCAAGAGCCAAGCGTAGCTGTATGGCAGCAGCAGGTGAAGGGCACCGCAGAAGGGTCTGCAGCATAGACAGGCCCCAGCTTGCTGTGCACTAAGTCGACCTACAGCACTCCATGCTCTAAGGCAGAGACCGGCCCATAGTGTTTGAGTGAGGGGTAGTGGCACTCCTAACCAGCTGGATCTGGAGCCCAGGTACTGGATGCTCTAGTCATGGTACTTTTACACTTAATTATCAGGCTCAGATTTAACTAGCAAGAGCCTGGATGACTAACACTGAGTCCGGAGGGGACTGTTTCCTGTACCAGACCATGCTGTTAAGGCACCAAGTGGAGCAGGGAGCTAGTCTGACAGGAAGACCAGGTGTTTAGTCTGCTTTCACAAGCAGCAAAAAAAGTTTCTCAGCTTCCCAGCAAGTCAGTGCTTGGCTAGAGCCAGGTCTCTAGCCTTTGTGTGAGACATGGATCACTGATGGCTCCAAGTTACCCTGTCACTTAAAGCTTCTCCAAGTTATGCCAGCAAGAGTGATCTTACAAGGGCTGCTCTGGTAGCTGAGGATCAGACAGATCCCAGGGGAACCCCCCCAATACCCAGCCAGCTTTCAGTAGCTAAGATGCTTCAGTGCTGGAAAGTTCTGCTTGAGGGTCTGGGACTGCTCTGCCAGCAGTAACCAGCGCCAGTAATGCAGCAGGTACAGGCTAGTTGAATCCATTCATTCCAGGAGCCATGCAAAAGCTTACCTGTCTCCAGTCGCATGGCCAAGAATGGTACTACTTTCTGTATATTGGCTTCTTCCACAACGGTAACAGGCTCCATTGTTCTTCTGTCCCACAGCAGGAGAGAGGTCTTGTTGACAGACACCAGGTAGGGTTCATAGGCAGTGGCTATCCCATACATCCAGCTGGTCTTCAGAGTATCTTTCTGATGCTTGGCAAGGCTCAGAACTTGCAGGCCTGCATGACAGATCAGTGCTAGACTGTCCTTTTAGACAGGAGGCTGCCCATTAGGCTAGTGCCTGTCAGGCATGTGCACCCAAGGGAGCCCATGTATTGTTTTAAAGCCATTTGCTTGGTATGTTTAGTGGTTGCCAGCACTCCAGTAGGTGCTGCTCCATCACTGTTGCTTCCTTCCCACTGCTTAAGGAATGGAGCACTAAATGGTTAGCTACCAGGAGACAGTGGAGGTGGATTGAGTGCCCCTTGGGATTCAGGAAAGGCAAACTAGCAGGTTCCTTATACATGAGGCTGCAAGATGACTTTTTATAGGCTATGGTGTCCTGGTATTTTATCTACCAGACAACCCTGCACATCTAATGGGACTGAAGTAAGATATCCCCATGTTCTGGGCATGGAATGGTCACTGAGTGGGTTTGAGCCTTCAGCTGATATTTAGAGGCCTCATCTGCCAGTGGATCAAGTTCTCAAACTTTCTTCATTAGCAGCCAATGGCTTCCTAAGACAGTCCTAGCCATTTTGCAGGGGGCAGATAGCAGAAAAAAAAACCTTGTAGCATTAGGGGACTTCACCTATCCAGCATAGCTGGTGGGAATCAAAGCTTGTCCTTCACTAGATCTTAGGGAAGAGGGCTCTTTAGGTAACACCCCAGACCCTCTGTGCTGCTGCCTGCAGACCAAGATAAGGTCTTTGGCCTCATGCAGCATGTCTCCGGCTGCTAACCTCAGGGCATCTAGACAAACCAATGCTACCCTTGCAAGCTTCTGTACAAGAGTGGCACTTACTGGCCTGGGCTAGCCATTGGCGTGTCAGCACAGGTGCTTACTGCTAGTGATCTTTGAGCCAAGGTTGCTGTTAAGGTGAAACAGTTTAGGAATCTTACTGTGTTTCCTCCCCCACTACAGAGTTGAGCCCCTTGGTAAATGTTCACTGTTAAGGGTCAAGATCATGAGTCTAAGCCATCAGCCTTGCTATGTCAGTTTCAATACCATTTTTAGACCACTAGTCTAAATTCAGCTCTTACCCAGGTCTTTTGAACTCCAGAGGATGCTGAAGGCCTGTGTGTCCAGAGCGATTTCAATGTCTCCTGACCAGGTTTCATTCCAGGCATCATGCACATCACCTCCAGCCAGGTTCATCTGCTGGAGGGGTTTCCCATTCTCAAGCCAATAGAGGGTTGCTCTCTGCCAGTCTAGAAACTGGTGTGTGATGATGCTCTTGGAATGGTAGAGCACGCTGGTTGCCATGCCAATGAATCGGGTAACTCGGATGTCAGTTCTGTCACACGTCAGCCAATAGATGTCACCGGACGGTAGATCAACAGCTGCTGAGCAAACTGCAGGAAGAATCACTTCAGTGACCAGCAACTCAGGCACATTTAGACTCTCTGCAGCACCAGCCACAGACTAGTCTTAGCTTCCCCCAGGCCGCCTCCTTTTCCCCTCAAGGAGTGGGAGGGGGAACAAGGTTCTGTATTGGCCCCCTAAAGTCAGGGCCTGGTTTCCCCTTGCCAGAAGGGGATGGCAGTTGAGAGGCCATCTCTCCTGCAGTGGGGAAGCCAGGTCCAGGGGGTTTGGCACTTCCAAGGTTTGGGTGAATTGGTAGAAAGGAATGGCTAAAAAGCCACAGGAATATTCTGTTAAAAGCCAGAAACTGAAGGTAGTTAGGCATGGGACATTGGTCTGGTTTGTTGTATGATTTGTAAAGTGCATGTTCAGATTCAGCATCTCACCTGGCAGCCCGGTTTGGATGGCTTCTTTCCTTCGTGGGTGCTTACTGAAGCGCATCAGGTCCCCTTCATCATCTGTCCAGTAGAGGAAGTGTCTTTTCCAGTCGACATCCTGCAGGTGGATGCTATGTGGCCACTCCAGCACCAGGGTGCTCTTTAGAGCCAAACCCTTTGGGTCCACTTGTAGTAAGTGGATCATTTTGTCAGTTGAATACAGGAAGGTCAGCTCTGGGGAACAGGTTGGTGCCAGGGTTAGATTGCCATGCATGAGTGAAACGATGCTAGCCTATTAGATGTTAAAAAGCGGAATATCCTAACCCCATCCAGATACAAGCTATCTGCAGTCTCTTGAGCAGGGTGATGAAACTCAGCCCCTCCTAGAGATGATCAGGTTTGGTTTCTTCGGAACCAAGATGATCTCCTGAAGAATGCTCCCTTCTAAAGCACAGGGGACCCCCCCCTTTGCCAACTGCAGCTGGGTGAGGTGTTGGGGGAGTTCCAAGCTATCTAGGGCAAAGACTTCAGCTGAAAGCCATAAGCTAGCCAGTGCAGCAGGAGCTCCTCTAGGAGTGAGGCACTTGAGTGCACAGCACTATTCTGTATTAGCCTCAGTTGCCAGAGGGGTTTAAGTTTAAGTGGTCCATGTGGGGTGGTCACAGCAGCTTATATTCCAGGTGGCCAGGCATGGATCCTAGCCAGATCACAACCTGGAGACATGGCTCTTGTCTCCTAGCTCGACATGGATGATCCAACACCATCCTAGTTATGGCTACTGCCCAGTCCCTTGGCAGCAGCTGGGGGAGTTGCCAGAGGGGTCAGATGTAAGAGCTCTGTGCCCTACAGCTCCCTCTCAGAGGTTCATGCCCTTCACCCCATGCTGGAGCATCCTCTCCCCTTTAGAGAGGTCAGTGGCTTGGAGCACTGACTGGCCAGGTGGTGGCCAGTGTTGGGATGGGAGAGCTGGGTCCTGTGGGCGACACCATGCAGGTCGTGCATTGCTAGTCTGATGGCCTCCCAAGGCAGCTGCTGAGTTAAAAAAAATTTAAGACAACTTCCATGTTTAGAGCCACAAGCCTACCTGCACACTTGCCAGAAGTCAGAAGGTGAGTACCTTCTGGACAAGCACACTTATAGCCCTTTGGATGGACAGGTGACAACAGGCAGATGTGACTACACAGTCCTGGAGCACATGCAGTTGTGTTCCCTAGAGAGCAAGGCAGTTGGTATTAGATTACTGACAATATTAAGATTGAGAGATTTGCCTAGAGTCATTGGCTGTGGATTATTCTCTGGACTCCTATGATAGAGGAAACCTACTAGAGAGTCTTGGGACCTTCTTGCTCCAGCTACTGACAGCTTGTCTTGGAGCAGTGCTTCACTGGCCAGCCCAGAAGCCCACAAATGTTTCCTCTGGGCCACTCAGGCTGTCACCTACAGCCAGCCAAACCCTGCTGTCTTCTCAGCTGCACTGCTGAAGCATGCAGACCTCCTAGCCACCTTGGCCTAGTAAGGACTTCCATCAAGCTTTGAAGATTTGACCTGATGTCTGGAGGATGGCCAGTGAGTCTTTGGGCCCCAGTTCTCAGGTGGGCCCCATTCTTGCTCTTGGGGCAGGGATGGGGTGAAAAGGGGTTCAAAGTGGGCTCCCCTTGTTGTGTCTGTGCAAGTTTGGAGCAGCTCAGAGGCTGCTCCAGGGCCTCATGGGAGGCTTTACAGTGGACCCCTTGGGGCCCCACCTGCAGCAAGTACATCTCTGAGCATCCTCCTCCAACTCCCACCAGGAGTCAGAATAGGTGTAGCAGAGTCTGCCCATGTCCCTGACCTGCCTTCTTTGCCAGGAGCTAGGAGAAGGCCCTGCACAGAGCACTTGTGGTATCCCTACTCAGGCATGGCCTTCCCATGCCCTGTAAGCCCCACCCCACCAGAAGGCTTTGGGGTCATTGACAGACCAGTGATTTACTGAGTAGTCAGATCAGAATGGTCTTCATACCTCATCTGAAGCTGCCCAATGCCTAGTTGATCTTTTGGGGAAAGGAACCCTTTCCATTAACAGGGGAGCAACAGGACTGGAGTGACTAGTTAAAGCTTTCAGTCACTTCCTGCACTGAGGGTCACCATATGGGAGCTACTCTGTTAGAGCAGTGAGCTGAATTGAAGTAGTGTTGTTTGCCACTCAGCAGGTTACCATGATGGGTACTAGGTGCCAGGCTCTGCATTGCTGTAGAATTGGTGAAGCTAGCAGCATCGTGACCAAGTTGCTGCAGCATAGCTGGATTCCACACACCGCCCTGCCCCCCCCCCCCCCCACACACACACACCACAGTTGTGGGGGAAAGCAGTCTGCTCAAACTTACTTGGAGGCTGTTGGAGTTCATGCAGCACAGTGAATGCAGAGATGGAGGTGTTCACCAGCACCACTGTCTCCCCTGGTGAGCTGCGGGAAGCAGAGAGGAGTTTTTCTTGGTCTGCCCAGAAGAACCAGTTCTCAAACACCATGAGACCCAAAGGGTCCTGATCTTTCAGTAAGATCTCTGGAAAGGAATATCGCCCACTGCCATCCACTTTTATGGTTTCTATGGACTGAAAAGACAGGTTGATTGAGAAGTCAGTACTGGGGTACCACAACAGCTCTCCAGGATGAGCAGTATTCAGTGATGCAGTCATTACTCTATAAAGCACATTTATATTGTCTGAACAGGAGGAAGTTGTGGCATGTCTTTTCACTAGTGTTTGTAGCAAGCTCCATGGACAGTTTAGTTTTGCCCAGAAGTTTTGAACCTCAGATCTGCAGGCTGCTCTAGTTCATGCGAGATCTAGTAATCCTGCAGAGACACAATCACACCTGGTCTCTTGCTGGGAGAGTTTGCAAGTGTCCCGTGAGCTAGTTACCTTGGAAGAGAAGCTATTTGTAGAGCAGAGTACACAGGGCCATCCCTAGCTGTTTAGGGCCCTATGCAGCCCCCCTGGGGCAGTGTGGGGCCCCAGGCCTCTGTGGGGGGACCCACCCCCCGCAGCACTTACCAGCAGTGCAGCTGTGGCTGGGTTGCTGCACTTCCCACTGCTGGTGAGTGCAGCCCCAGCTCTGCTGCAGAGCTCAGAGGAGTTGGGGCAGGGCTGGGGCCCTGGGGAAGAGCTGGAGCAGCATGCAGGTCACCAGGAAATTTGGTGCCCCATGCAGCTGCATACAGGGAAGGATGGCCCTGAGAGTACAAGGCCTTCAGAGCTATACGAGTTAGAATGGTGTCTGTATAATGTAGAAGGGAAGGTGGAGTGATCTTTCTTGCCCTTAACCACCCTTTTACTGCAGAGGTCTTTTAGTAGACAGTTTAAACTAGCCTTGCATGCCTGATCCCAGGCACTCCTATTTAATAGGAAGGCTCATGCTACTTCACCCCTATGTTCACCATTTGTATATGGTTAGGATACCTCACAAGGAACACTTGGGGTTTTGAATGACATTTTGTACAATCTGCTGATCCTGTGGAAGTGTCTAACTGCATGTAAAGTTATGAAAATTTGCTATAGGATTGTTCCTGAAATACACTGTAATTCTGGGTAATGCCTATACACCATTTTGGCAGAGGCTTGCTGGCATGCCAGCAAGGTGCTAAAGAGCCATTACCTACTTAATGGTCCATTCACCAGTAGGGGGAAGAAATTTACATTGCAGGAACAGTCTCAAACCTTGTGTCCACATGGGACAGTCACCATGACTCAGCAAGGATGTTTCTAGCACAAGTGGACTTAAAGGGGAAGAGAGGTGCAATCAAAGAGTCTCCTTCCATCTCTGCTCATGAGAGCAGTGAGCTCAGAACTGAGCAAAGGGAGTAGCCATCCTAGGCTGGAAAGGGAGGCAGCCTGAGACATTTTGCTTTTAAGTTCATTTAGGGATCTAGATAAACTGGAGAAATAGTCTAAAATAAATCGCATGAAATTCAATAGGACAAATGTAAAGTACTCCACTTAGGAAGGAACAATCAGTTGCATACATACGAAATGGAAAGGACTGCCTAGGAAGGAGTACTGCAGAAAGGGATCTGGGGGGTCATAGTGGGTCACAAGCTAAATACGAGTCAAGTGTAACACTGTTGCAAAAAAAGCCATGAACATCATTCGGGCTGTATTAGCAGGAGTGTTGTAAGCAAGACACGAGCAGTAATTCTGCTCTGTGCTGATTGGGCCTCATCTGGAGTGATGTGTCCAGTTCTGGGCACCACATTTCAGGAAAAATGGAGACAATCCAAAGAGCAACATAAAAGGATTAAAGGTCTAGAAAAAAGTGACCGAGAAGGGACATGACAGTTTTCAAAGTACATAAAAGGTTGTTACAAGGAGGAGGGAGGGAGGAAAAATATTCTCCTTAACCTTTGAGGATAGGACAAGAAGCAATGGGCTTAAATTGCAGCAAGGGAGCTTTAGGTTGGGCATTGGAGGGGGGGAGAGACCTTTGTGTCAGAGTGGTTAAGCCAGGGGTGACCAGCCTGTGGCTCCAGAGCCACATGGGGCTCTTCAGAGGTTAATATGGGCTCCTTGTATAGCCAGACTCTGGGGCTAGAGCTACAGGTGCAAACTTCCCAGTGTGCTGGGGTGTGGGGTGCTCACTGCTCACCCCCTGGCTGTGCCACATGCCCTGCCCCCAATCCACCCCTTTCCCTGAGCCTGCTGTGCCCTTGTTCCTCCCCCTCCCGAGCCTCCTGCACATCTGGAAACAGCTGATTGGGAGGCACGGGGATGGAGGGGGAGGTGCTGATCAGCAGGGCAGCTGGTGGGCAGGAGGCGCTGGGAGCCAGGGGGAGCTGCTGATGTATTACTGTGGCTCTTTGGCAATGTACATTGGTAAATTCTGCCTCCTTCTCCTGTGCAGGTTGGCCACCCTTGGGTTAAGTGCTGGAATAAATTGCCTAGGGAGATTCCACAACCTCCATCATTGTCTAACCCGCTCTTAAAAAACCTCCAAACACTGTCAGGGATGGCCTGGATGATACTTTAGTCCTGTCCCCTGCCCTCCTGGCAAGGCTAGATGATGTCTCAAGGTCCCTTCCATAAATGATGATTAGCTTGCTTGTGTCATCTTGCTGTGTTTGTAATGAATCTGGATTTACACTTGCAATCACTTCAAAACCAGTTGAACTGGAGCAACAGATTTCATTGAAACCAGTGTGTTTAAAAAGGGTTTCAGAATCTCCACTGGGGCTGGCAAGTCTGGTGCCGCACCACCCACAGTTGGACGGGAGTGTGCACTGTCCAGGGTCCTGACCAGCACAAGGGCACATTTTGGGGAAGCCAGGCTGGGACTGGGCATATGTCGGTGTCACCCTGTATGTAATTTGGGAGTGACTTGTCAGAGCACTTATTTGGCTAGGAGTACATTTGCATGCTGAAGGCTGTGTATGATCAGACACTGGAGGGGTTGCGGCTCACCAGCCGAGCAGTGTAAAAGGCATCCCAGGCAGGAGATCTGAAAGGGACCCTGCAATCCCGATAGCACCCTGGGGAATGTCACACCCTGGCAGAGTGGCTTAAAACAAAGTTTAGAAATTTCATCAAGTAGTAACTTATCTTCAGGCTCCTTTCCCCAGAGAAAGCAAGGCCCAGAAGTCAGTAGTCTTTTAGTGACCTGCCAGGGTTAAACTCCTTGGGACAGCCAGCTATTTATGAAGCTGGTCCAATCAGTTATTGGAAACAGGAGCTAGAGATCTCCCTGTACCTCCTTATACTCGCTGATCCAGTACAGTCTGCCAGTTATGGAATCCAGAGTCAGTCCCAAAGGTTCTTCCATGGGGACAACAGCAAGCACTTGTCTGTCAGAGCCATCCATTCCTGCTGCCTCAATCATCGTCCTGCCCTTCTCACCGTGATTCACCCAGTACATGTACCTGCGAGGAAGGTTACAGGACAATGCTCAGTATTGTGTTCTGGCTTGCTAGAAGCTATTTGCTTGCAGAGGTAATCATGATGCATACTCAGGCTGCTCTAGGGCGAGAACCATGCAGGTAGATTGATATCCCAGAGCTCTAGGCTTGTTCCCTTATCAAGGAGATGGCTCACATTCCAAGTGCCCTTGACACTGCTTCATACTGGTGCTTACAGCTGTTCTGTTGGCATGATGCAAACAAGTGCTCACCAGTGCTCTTACTAGCTAGGAGTGGGACTTCTAGTGACTTGTGCACTCATGGTTTCCAACAGTCTTAGAGGAAGAATAAGGCACCCAAGATGGAAGCTTAGAGGTTAAAGCAGGCCAATCCAGACTGCTGTAGAGTGGTTCTTGCCCACATCTGGTTCTCACCTTTTTGCTGGATACACAGTCAGCTGCTCAGGTACCAAGTTCTTCTCTAGCACCTTGATGTATCCCCGGCCATCACTTAGACCAGCACAGATTGTCTGGGGGTGGCTGCTGGCCCAGTACACCTGCCCTGTGAACCAGTCTACAGATATGCTGTTCACACCACGGACATCTAAGAGACAAAGGATTGTTAGCTATGAAGTCCCCCCTCACTAATCCTCTGTGCCCCAGAGGCAGCTACTAACCCCATGAAATCAGTGCCCCAGAGGAGAGTTCCTTTGGATTAGATGCAGGGGAGGGATGAGGCTTGTTTGTACATGACTAAGGACAGCATAGGACAGTATGGTCCCTGCTAGCAGAGGCCACCCCATTGTTACTGACTAGCTGTCTTTTGGGATGAGGCATCTTGTGCACAACAGAACTTGGCTTTGAGTACATCAGACTTGTAGGACAGATGTGATGAAGCTGCCCTCTGTATAGACAGAGCTGTGACCTGTTGAGACTTTCCCAGCCCTCCTGCTGGGTGAAGCACTGTCACAGACATCTAGGCTCATTGCTACCTTCAGCTCTCAGGGCAAAGGAGAGCGTTTACTGCGTTCTAGTCTCAGAGAGAAAGTGGTACTGTGATCTATTCAACCTTGAAGCCCATAACAGAGTGCCTTATTGCAGGGGCATTTACCGGGGTAGAGTAACATGTTGCCCTTCCCAGGCATATAGACATGCAGACTTTTGCCTTCATCCACCCAGTAATAAGCTTCCCTCAGCAGATCATAAGCAATTGCTCCAGGTGTGGCATTTGTGGAGATGAGGCTCCGATGGGCACGGGTTCTCACATCGAGAAGAACAAGGTCAGGGCCAGTTGCTAGCAAGATTTGCGTAGCATTGTCTGCAATGAAAATAGAGGTTATATGCTTGTTACTGAGCCAGCAGGCTCATGACCACCTTCCCTCCACCCCTGCTAAGCTGGAGGGAAAGGCAGGCCTGTGGAGGGGGTCCTGTGCTGCCCATTCCAACATGGAGCTGGGATGCTCTGTCAGCCCCCTGGTACACCAATGGTGGGGACAGCCTAGAGTTCACAGAGAAGCAGGCTCAGACTGAGCAGGAGCAGCCAGAGGCAGTCTGGTAGCTAGCTGGAGAAAGGCCAGAGAATGGGCAGGGGTGAGCAGTAGCTGCAGTCAGAGGCTACAGGGCAGCACCACGTATGCAGGAGAGAGGATCCCAGCTAGGACAATGCCTTAATGTGCTGCTCCTGGGGGCTAGGAGAGGATCTTCCTGGTAAGATCAATAAGTTGTGCCAAGGGTACAACACCTTGTACTGTCTAGCAGCCCTTGTAAAGAAAGTCTCCCACTCCCCAAAATGCAGCAATGTGTATGGGGATACCAAGGGCTGGAGCAGCTGCCTGAGCTGGTGATTTGTAGAGCCTGCTACTAGACTTCTAGATGCAATGGTGCACTAGTGCTCACAGCTGCGCCTTGAAGTGGGGTCAGTTCTTGTGTAACTGGAAGTGATCTACTCCAGAGCAGTCTTGCCATGAGTTGGCTACCTGCCCCCACCAATCTTAGTGGGAGTGGGCCTTCTGCATGGCCCCATGTAGTGCTGCTAGGATCTCTTTATTCAAGCCTCACTGGGATGCAGCTGCCTCTGGATGAATTGCTGCAGGTAACTGGCACTTGTTGCACCAAAGGTACATGGGGGAGGTCAGAGCAGGTTACATGGCATTCCCTTGATTGCAGAAGGTTTTCCTAGCCACCATTACCAGGATTAGCATCTGGTTCTAGGAGCCAGATATTGCTAATCTAATGCACACACATTAGTTTAACCCCTCTGGCATTAGAGCTAGAGGCCTTCTGATCTTACTTGGAGAGGACTTAGAACTGTTCTCCATCGCTAAACCAGGCAGAGGCTTGCTTGGATTCTGTACACAGAATCATGCGCTGCTATTTAACAGGTTTCAGAGTAACAGCCGTGTTAGTCTGTATTCGCAAAAAGAAAAGGAGTACTTGTGGCACCTTAGAGACTAACCAATTTCATGCTCAAATAAATTGGTTAGTCTCTAAGGTGCCACAAGTACTCCTTTTCTTTTTGCTATTTAACAGTGGCAGCTGTGCTCAGCCCCTCCAGGATCTCAGAGACCTTGTCTACAAACTGATGGGCCCCCTCTAGTTCACGACTTACCCCTCATCTAGCTGGGGTCTCCCCACTCTGGGCGGTCAGGCTAATACCAAGGCCTGTTCAGGACTGGTGGCCAGTTTCAGCCTGTCCCCCAGAGAAGGGGAATGTGCACACTAAACAGGGTTTGCTGGGAGAGTGCAGTTTATGGACATGTTTATGAAATTGCCAGTCCCCATAACCTTGGGGAGGGGGCAGCCAGGTAAGTTTGGTATAGCTGCCACTTGCAATATCAGCTAAACAGCTGGGTTACCAACTATGACAAGCCAAGCAGTAGAATCATTGCTGCAGTCTTCCTAGCAGTAGGAAAGCTAAACACTGTTCATGTGTTAGCCTGGCTTCCAACTGGCAATAGGAGGAGCCTAGTCCCACCACCTGTGGTCATCAGGTGTTACTTACCAGCAACTTCACAGATGGTGCCGGAGTGGAGCTGGTACCCTTTTACACAGTCACAGGTAAAAGACCCAAGCGTGTTCTTACACAGCTGGCTACAGGGACTATACACAAGGGAACATTCATCCACATCTGTAAGGGGAGAAGGTCACTAGGTTAGGAAACTGAACAGCCAGTAACTCAGGTAAACTTTCTAGGCCAGTCTGTACGTGTCGCCCATTCGAGAAGCTGACTAGGAACAAGTGCTACCACAGTGTTTGTGGAATTCAGGTCTGAGAGAAAGCTCTCAGTTCCAAGCTGCTCTCCAAGCAGAGAGAGAAGAGAACTCTCCAGTACCTGCTCTTACATTCAAAGTGGTGGAAAATGCCTGCCACCACCATTTGTGTGCCAGTTTGTGGTGTGGCCAGACAAGACATTTCCCCACAGCAGCAAGCCAGCATGCCTACAGCAGCAGATACAGTCATATCAGCCAGCAATGAAGTACTACAGGAATTTAGCCCCAGTCAGGTCCCATCTTTATGGGCAATATGGTCCTCTGGTGCACTAGTGACCATATTGTGTCTTGTGCCCTTTCCAAGAGGCACAAGATTTGTAGGCTGCTGTGTTTCTCCCCTCTTCTCCAGGACTGAATCCTTGCCTGGGCATGCCTCAAAAACTCTTAAGGTGAAGACACTATACTGGCCTTTACTGAGGTTTATTAACACTAATACCCCTGGATGGGTAAGAAACCTAGAACCTCTGGATCTTAATGCATGAGCCTCTACTGCCAGAATTAAGAGTCATGGCTCTTAGCCAAAGCCGTATCAGACCATGACTGGCTGCCTGCAGAGGCCAGACTACATAAAACCCTGGAAACACTCACTACTGGTCAACTGGAATCCCACCAGCCATGGACTCCCCACTGTGGGGAAAGGGAAGAGCTCCCTGCCCTGACATCTACAGATTGTTCTGGTTGACAATAGCATGCTCTCAAGTAGCTTTTGGAGACTCCCCTCGTGCCCCCTCAGGAGACTGTCAAACAGCTGTGCCCTACCAGTGCAGTTCTGTCCATCAGCCTGGAGCTCCCATCCAGCGCCACAAGAACACCTCACGCCCCAGCTGGTGTCAGTACATGTCTCCATGCAGCCTCCATTGCTCAGAGAGCAATTTTTGCCTGCATAAAAAAGGGAACAAGCCTTGACATGTGAAGTTGTGTTCAGAGGCTTCCTCACAGTATGGTACACTTCTGACACTTCACGGTCTATGAGCAGTTCTACAGCAGAAAGATGTAGCGAGCTGTTACATTACCACAAGTACTGCGTTCATCAGTCCCATCTAGACAGTCTTCTGCCTTGTTGCACATTAGAGATTCCAGGATGCATTTCCCCTCATCGCACTGGATCATGCCTTCTGGGCAGTGAGCTGTGAGAAAATATCATGTTACGAGATGCTCTGCTACTGCCCTCACTTGCAAGAGGTAATTGTTGCCAAACATTCACCAGAGAGGTTGTCTGACAGACTCCTTGGACAGAACTAAAGTTGATAAGAACTTTAGTTTCTGATGCTAGCTATTTTCCTGTCTGAGGCTATGCCAAGGCTCTGTGGAAGTTTGTATTTGGAGTCCTGACGCATCAGGGAACTTTCAATTAAAGTATTAAAATTTGTTTTCACTACTCCGATTTAGCAAGATGTGCATGAAACATTCCCAATTGTGTACTCCTGCTGCTTACTCCTAGGCTAGATCAGTGTGATATTACAATGGATTGCTGTGAAAAGCAGGCTGTCAGAAGTTCAACTCTTATTTCAGATTAATGAGTAGATTGCTTAGGATGTGAGCTAACCTGGATACAGCTACAGCATATGGCAAGCGTGGTTCATCAGGACTGATTTTGTCTGCTTCAGAAGAAAGTTACCATGTGGTCCATAATTATGGAGTGGGGTATGGAGATGCACCTCAGCTGTCTGAGGACTAAACTTACTTCCATATTCCTACTACATGGAGTAAGAGCCAGAGTTTGACTATGGAGAACAAGGCCTTCTAGGCTAGTTTATGGAAATTCACCACATGGAGTTGTCCCCTTCAGTGTCTGGACACCTCCATTTCAGGTTAAGTTATTTTAGTGGTTTCATCTCTTTTTAGCTCTAGAGGACTAACTTAGCAGAGCACCTTGTTAGGGCACATGTGTAATAACAGTCTTTTAATCATTACCTGTTATCTCAGAGGCTGTCCAGAGAAACTGGCCATAAGCAATAGCCAGGCCTGACAGTACAAGTCTTAGCAATGTTTCATTAAAGTGGTGGAAGATACTTGAATAGTGTTAGTCAGATTCTCCCCCCCACCCCAATTCCCCAAACTCCATGGGTGTGGGTCTACACAGCATTTGAGCTAGTGGGAGTAAGTGTCCCATCATGGGTTGCTACACTTAGGTAGTCAGGGTTCAGACAGTTTTGGGCTCTGGAATTCATCTCCTTCCCTATGGCTTCAGAGGAAGAACTCCAGCCCAAGCTGCACTTGAAGTACTGTCTGTACAGACATTTTTAGAATACTAGCCTAAGGCTAACTGGCCCATGATGGGGGGGCTCACTCCCATTAATTCAGATGCTGTGTAGATATACCCCATTAGTTTTCC